AATATTTTTAAAATATATTTTATTGATTTTTTACAGAGAGGAAGAGAGAGGGATAGAGAGTTAGAAACATCGATGAGAGAGAATTATCGATCAGCTGCCTCTTGCACACCCCCCACTGGGTATGTGCCCGCAGCCAAGGTACATGCCCTTGACTGGAATCGAACCCGGGACCTTTCAGTCTGCAGGCCGACGCTCTATCCACTGAGCCAAACCGGTTTCGGCAAAAAATATGTTTTTATTGATTTCAGAGTGGAAGGGAAAAGGAGAGAGAGAAACATCAATGATGAAAGAGAATCATGAACTGGCTGCCCTCTGCATGCCCTACACTGGGGATCAAGCCCACAACCTGGGCATATGCCATGACCGGCAATCAAACTGTGACCTCCTGGTTCATAGGTCTATGCTCAACCAGAGCCATGCCAGCTGGGCTGTAAATGTTCTTGATCTTGCAACCGGTCGACTATACCAAAAGCATAAGCAAGAACACACACAAAAAAAAACAGGTAAAGTGGACTTCATCAAAATTAATAACTTTGTGCTTTAACAGACACCATCAAGACAATCCACAAAATAAAAAAAATTAAAAAATATTTGCAAATCATATATTTGATAAGAGTCTTGTATCTAGAATATTTAAAGGACTTACAATTCACTAATAAAAAGACAATCCAATTTTTAAAATGGGCAAAAGATTTGACAAATATAAATTGTCAATAAACACATACAAAGATGCTTAACATCACTAGTCATCATGGAAATGTAATGAAAACCACAAGATATCACTGAATATTCACTAGAAAGGCTATAATAAAAAAGCCAGACAAAAACATTTATTTGTAGGATGTGGGGCAAGTAAAAAGAGCTGCTTTGGAAAGAACAGTCTGCTGGTTGCATAAAAGGTTCAACACAAAGTTATCATACAACCTAATAGTCCCTTCCATAGGCATTACCCGAGAGAAATGAAAACATATCCAAAGAAAAACTTGTACAAAAATAATCATAGCATTATTTGTAACAGCCAAAAAGTAGAAACAACCCAAATGATATCAACTGATGAATGGATAAACAAAATGTACCTAGTATACCCATACAATGGAATATTATTCAACAATAAAAAGGGGTGAACTACTAATGCATGCTACAATATGACGAACCTTGAAAAGATTATGCAAAGTAAAAGAAACTTGTCACAGAAGATCATATAATATATGGCTCCAATTATATAAAATGTCAAGAAAAGACAAATTGATAGAGTCAGGAGGTAGATTAGCAGTTGCCTAGGGTTGAGGCGTGTGGGAAGAAGTGGGGAGTAACTAATAGGCTCAAGTTTCCTTTGGGGTGATGACAATGCTCTAAAATAAAACGTGGGGATGGCTGTATAACTGTGTGAATACTAAAAAGTCACTGAATTGTACGCTTAAATGAACTGCATCTCTATAAGACTCTTACAGTACATAAAAAACCAACAACCTAAGCACATTACCTTCTTTATACGTTTTCTCTAGGGTAGCAGTGCTAATGGAACAAGTAGGTAGGTATTTTTCTGACTGTAGAAATATTAACAGAACAACAGGGTGCCTGAGTCTTTCCTATGATTCTCAAACTTCTAAATAATAATTTAAAAAAAAATTCCCACAAATATTGTGTTGGAACAAAAGAGCTCAGTTTATTCTGAAGATTTACCACAGAAAAGCCAAACTTAATTTCATCTAACATAGATAAAGCAGGCTTCAGTGTCCTGTCAGCCCTGGCAGGTATATCAGCGGTTAGAGCACTAGTCTGTGCACTAAAGAGTTGCAGGTTTGATTCCTGGTCAAGGGCATGTACCTGGGTTGCAGGCTCATTTTCCTGGCCCTGGTCCAGGCTCATGTGAAAGGCAATGAACTGGCATGCCTCTCTCATATTGATGTTTCTCTCTCTCAAAGGGCTGGCACATCGCACAGACTTATTCAGACTCACTCCCTGAGCTCCAGCACGAGGACAGAAGCTTAAAAGAACCCAGGGACATACAGGGAGAAATTAACATGTCTGGCGTCAGACCAAGAACTGGGGGTAGCTTTGTACCAGACAGAAGTACTGGCAGGGGACAATGTTCCTTTGCTGAGACCTCCCTGCCACAAAGCCAACCAGCAGTCACCATACCTGAGTCTCCATCAACCTGCAGCTGATTCTGAGACCCCACCCCATCCAATGTGCAGCCGCACCGAAGCTGTTTGCAATGGCTTTTTCATATTAAGAGCATGTCCTAGCTCAGGCTTCAGACTCGGTTAAGTTTCCCAAATACACAGCATCTGACCTCAGCATGCCCCATGGTCCTGTACTAGCAGCAGCCTGCCTTCTCCTGGGCGTCTCCAAGCCCAACACAAGTAGCAGCCATCTAAAGATTGCTCTGTAACTCATGCCAGGTAGCCCTAGGCAGGACTCAGGCAGGAGCTGGAGCTGGCTATATACCTCCCAAGAGGCCACAGCCAGTGCATCTAGAGATCAGCTTCAGACTACGTCAGATTACAGCCTTACCACATCCAGTAGCAAAACACTCAAGCGGCAGACTCAGTGAGCACCAAAACCCACTGAAGCAAGTCCTGCTCCATAAGTGTGTCTCCCACAGCAGCTCCCTCTCTGTAGTTGCAGCTGGTCCTCATAGCCAATTGGCCTGGGGGCCAATTCCTCTCAACAATGCCAACAGCAATCAAAGCTCAAATACAATAGGACTGTGCACACACGGGTGCACCTAGAGTGCCCAACTCAGGTGACTGGGGAGGCTGAGCTACTGGGCTCTATAGGATACAACTATACAAGGCCACTATCCCAATTCCGGGAGACACAACAGCTCTATCTACTACATAGAAACAAACAAAGAGAAGCAGCCAAAATGTGGAGACAAACATGTCAGAAATGAATGAAGAGAAGACATCTCCAGAAAAAAAGAAACAAATAAAATGGAAGCAAGCAAACTACCAGATGGAATTCACAACAATGGTTTTAAGGATGCTCTTAGAACTTAATGAGAACTTCAAGGAACTTAGTGAGAACATCAACAACATAACAAAGGATCAGTCAGAAATGAAGGATTCACTAAATGAAATAAAGAATAATTTATAGTAAATCAACAGTAGAGGATGCTAAGAATCAAATCAGCGAACTGGAATACGAGGAAGCAAAAAACACCCAGTCAGAAGAGCAAAAAGAAAAAAGAACCAAAAAGTATAAAGATAATGAACAGTTATCTTCTGGGATAATTTTAAGCTTATCAACATTTGCTTCATGGTGGTGTTGGAAAAAGAAGAGAGAAATTAAAAACCTATTTGAAAAATAATGACAAAACTTGCCTTAACTAGTGAAAGAAATAGACATACAAGTCCAGGAAATGCAGAGTCCCAAACAAGAGGAACCCAACGAGGCTCACATCAAGACATATCATAATTAAGTTCTGGCCGGTTTGGCTCAGTGAATAGTGCAAACTGAAGGTCCTGGATTCAATCCTGGTCAAGGACACGAACCTTGGTTACAGGCTCCTTCCCAGTCTGGGCGTTGTTAGGGCACAAGCAAGAGGCAACCAATCAATGTACTTCTCTCACATCGGTATTTCTCTCTGTTCTTCACTCTTTCTTCTACTCTCTCTAAAAATCAAGAAAAAAGTATGCTCCGTTGAGGACAAAAAAAAAAAAAAAAGACATATAATTAAAATGCCAAAGGTTAAAGACAAAGAGAGAATCTGAAAAGCCGTAAGTTAACTTCAGGGGAATACCCAAAGGACTATCAGCTGATTTCCCAACAGAAACTTTGCAGGCCAGAAGGAAGTGGCAAGAAATATTCAAAGTGATGAAAAGCAAGAACCTACAACCAAGCTTATTCTACCCAGAAAAGCTATCATTTAGAATTGAAGATCAGATAAAGAGCTTCACAGCCCAGCTGGAGTCACTCAGTGACTGAATGTCAACTTATGAATCCAGAGATCATGGTTCAATTCCCAGTCAGGGCACATGTCCAGGTTGCAGGCTCAGTCCCTAGTAGGGGGTGTGCAGGAGGCAGCCAATCAATAATTCTCTCTCATTATAGATGTTTCTATTTCTCCCTCTCCCTTCCTCTGAAATTAAAAACAAAGAAACAAACCATATATTTTTTTTTAAAAGAGTTTCACAGACAAGAAAAAGCTCAAGAAGTTTATTATCACCAAACCAGTATTACATAAAATATTAAACTGAATAAAATAAAAATATTAAATTGAAGAAAAATGTGAACAATAAAATGACAAGATACATATCTATCAATAATTGAATCTAAAAATAAAAAAATTAACAAGGAATCGAATGAACAAAATAAACTGATAAATAAAATAGAACCAGAGACATGGAAACATGGAACAGACTGACAAATCTCAGAGGGAAGGGGGTTGAAAGAGATCAACCAAAAAACTTATATGCTTACATGCATTACCCATGGACACAGACAATAGGGTGGTGAAGACCTGTGATGGGGGGGATCTGGGTGGAGGAGGAAAATTGGGGGATAAAGGAAAGGGTTATCTGTAATACTCTCAACAATAAAGACTTAAAAAGTTTTTTTTTTTAATTGATTTTAGAGAAAAGAAGGGAGAGGGGTAATGAGATAGAAACATCAATCAATGAGAGAGATTCACACAGTCCTCACTGGGGATGGTGCCCACAATGCAGGCATGTGTTCTGACTGGGAATCGAACCATGACCTCCTAGTTCATGGGCCGAACTGAACAGGCTCAACAATAAAGATGTTAAAAAATAAAGTAAAATAAACAACATTCAAAAAGTTCGGAAACTTAAAAAAAAAATAAAAGAAAAAGCAATGAAAAAAATATTCTCAAGTGAGCTTTTTTTAAAATTCTGTCATGATCTGTGTCATTTTAATTTTACAGTTGAACCCACAGAGTCTCTTGCTAGGTACATGATTATATATGAAAAAAGTACTTTCATTTATAAAATTAATTTGTGACACGCCATTTTGGTGTAAAGTTGTGTTTTTACCATGCACAGGTTCATCTTCATCGACAAACAGACAGGGTTCTATTTCTTTCAAGGACCGTCTACCTTCAAGCCGGGCAAGGAGCTTCAAAAGGAAAAAAAAAGAAGAAAAATCATTACCTAAAAATGTGATTATCTTGAAGATCTGCATTTATATAATTTTCCAAAAGACTATAAAAAAGGCTTTTCATAATTTTCAGGATGTGGAGAGAATTATGAAGTAGGAAATATAATTTAGGAGAAAAATTGTGTTCACTTGTTCAGATTATGTTTCATTTTTTGTCTGTATACTCGGTACAAATGGTATGAATTCCTGCCCTCAAAGGAGCTGATAGTGTAGTCTGGGATAAAGAACCAAACTGCTAAATGCAAAGTATTTGCCTTCCTTGTGCATTATCATTATCTTTTCACAATACTTACTGTACTTGTTACACAGGTATCTATCTGTGTTTGTCTGTCAACCCCTTATCTAGTTGGGAACTGGACAAAGGAGAAAGGTGGAGAAAACGTCCTTGAGGGGCTCCTACCTGAGTGAGTTAGGTATGTGGGGCAGAGGGGGCCAAAGCGCAGAGGCTAAAACAGCACTGTGTGTAGGTCAACCATGAGCACAGTTGAATTGCTACGGCTTGTAGCACAAACAGACAGGAGAGAATGAAGTCCCGAAGAGCAGAGGTCAGATCCCAGAAGAGCTCAGATGCCGGCTCAGGAGCCTGCTCCTTGGCTTGTACACAGAGCAAGGGGTTCTCAGCTACACAATGAGCAGCAGTCTGGATAATGCAGAGTAGATAGTCAGGACTCCAGAAGCAGACCTGCTATGTCATTTTCCTGGGCCTGAGGACCTCATCAGTAAAGTGAGGGTAACAAAGAATATCTCCCTCACAAAATTGTTGAGAATCAAGTGTGTTAAGATTGCTGCCTTGGGCCTGACTGGTTTGGCTCAGTGGATAGAGCATCAGCCTGCGGACTGAAGAGTCCCAGGTTTGATTCCAGTCAAGGGCATGTACCTTGGTTGCGGGCACATCCCCAGTGGGGGTTGTGCAGGAGGCAGCTGATCAATGTTACTCTCTCATCAATGTTTCCAACTCTCTATCCCTCTCCCTTTCTCTCTGTAAAAAAAAAAAAAAAAAATCACACTTTGAATGACTATTAAGTCTGTGTTTATGAATATATAGTTCACTTTCAAAATTTAAAAGAATCCACACAAATGAATAAGATTTTTGTCAATGCCCGTTTTCAAACTGATGACCATTCTGGTCCAGGCACTGCTGATAACACAAAGCAATGGAATCGCCCTCAGTTCTTCAACTGTTTCCGGTTTTGTATTGTAAACTTTATCTTTTATGTATCCCCATTAAAAAGTCTAATGGACTAATTTTGTTCAAGGCTTAGTCTGGCTTCACCCATTATTTCAAATCAGTTAAATGTGTAAAGGAGTAAAAAATAAGTGAGTTATAAGTTATTAAAGTGTGTATATTTTTTTTGGGAAAGGGTGTCCTCCAAAAAATGTATACACATTTTAAGTAATTATAAAGGCAGTGTTTGTATTTCAACTGCTTTTTCAAACTCCCAGTAACATTTAAGAAGAATTTTCTTTGTTTAAAGCTTAGCCTGGATATAAATAAATAAATAAATAAATAAAGGAAGGAAAGATCAATTAGGCTATCAGCTGCTAAAGAGTATATACATGTTTTGGGACAATTTATATAAACAGAAAAATATCCTAAAAATCTGACATAAACCTGAATGACTGTTATAGAAATTAAAATTAATGATATCTTCCCAACTTGAGGAATAAGTAAAAAGAAGCAAGTAGTCAATCTGGAGTTTGTTAAGCATCAAGGTAAAGGGAACCCAAATAAGTTCTACCAGACTTGACAGTTAATCCTCTTAGGAAGATGAACACCTCAGGCAATCAGAGCTTGGGGATGGTAGCCATTAAAAGATTTAACTATTCCTCTTGATTCTCTAAGCCAGCGGTCGCCAACTTTTTGGACCTCACAGACCACCAGTGGTCAAGAACCACCGGTGGGTGACCACTGCTCTAAACAACCTTTCTGAGGTCAAATTATTCTGGACATAATCATCTTCATCTATTTGACGGTTTTATAAATATTATGAAGTCATAGGTTTGGCATTTGGGTTGTAAATCAGTATCTCCTAGGTTTTATTATAATAACTATCTAAAACACTATTTGTGCTTACTGTTGAACCAGCAGTACATAATTTACACACATTCTCCCTTGTAATGTCACATTCACTCTACTTATTATCATTCTGTTTTCAGATGAGCAAACTAGCAGACAACACAGCCAGGGTTTAACTGAGATCGCTTGGCTCTCAAAGTCTAAAGTTCTCCTTTGGTGCCACACAGCCTGAGTCAATTATCAAGTCTGATCAAATCTGAGGACAGGGCAAAATAGTCTTGGACCTACTGACTGAAGCTGAAACCAATCTGAGGTCCTATCAAGGCCATTATTCAGCCTCTCAATCATGTCCCTTAGTACTCCCTCTAACACCAAGCAGACTCAAATGTTTTCAACCGAAGCAGCATCACTTGAGCAAGCATGCCATCTGCAAAGGGACCATACCCAGTTACACAGAAATTCCCTGGGACACACTTCAGGAAGCCAAATGTGTTCTAGGAACTGAGGTGCTGGGACACACAGAGGTAGCAGACAGAGTTCCTGTCCTCAAAGAATTTAATGCAGTCAAAAGGTTAAAAAAAAAATTCAATTAAGTATGGTAAGTGCTGCAACAGATACTCACATGGGGGTGTGTGAAGGCATCAAAGAGGGATGGTCAATCCTAACATGTAAGAGATACCTTTAATTCTGAATGAAAGATTGAACACATAGTTCTTTCAGGTACATACAGAATGAGCAGTAATAATAAATGCTTTCCTTCTTTTTTCCTGGAACATCCTTCCCATGCCTGGTTTCTCAATTAAATTCCCTAAGGCCTAGACTAATGAACAAACAAAAATCCTACGCATTCTTCAAGGCCACCCCCCTCCATGAAGCTATTACTATACTTAAGAGCACATTACCAGCCTGTCCTCCTGATCTAGATGTAAAAGCTTAAAAGGGAAGGGTTGTATCTTGGCTTGCCACCAATTCCAAAAATGCAGAAACTGGTAAATCCAAGGTAAACAGGTAGGTAGAAGTGGGGGGAACTACTTATTCATATATTTGGATACTTTGTACAAATTTCCACTGAAAAGTCCATGAATATTCTTATGGCTATCATCAAAGTTCTTCATACTCACTAACAAAGTCCATTTTAGAGGCAATTATATACCTTCAATGCCTGCTAAGCAGAACACATATCATATAGATGTTTCTAAACATAGTTATGGAAATGGTTACACTCAAGCAGGAAGGAGTACTTAAAGATCGAATTAACCAGAAATTAGTGACATGAAGGCAAACATGTATCTAAGACTTATTTGGATAAAAGCTCATTTTTCCTGACCTTTTATGATTCAGACTGTTTGCAAGATAGCTATCAGCAACAGGTCTTCAGCAAGTATAAGAGCTCCCTACAATAGCAGACACTCTAACCACATATTCCTAACCTTGTCCACCCTACAATAGGACTGGACTTCTACCCTCAAATTTAATGCAATTCTGCTTGGCCTGCGTGGCTCAAAAATTGAGCACTGACCTATGAACCTGGTTCAATTCCAGGTCAGGGCCCATGCCCAGGTTGCAGGCTTAATCCCCAGTGTGGGTATGCAGGAGGCAGTTGATCAATGCTTCTAACTCTATCCTTCTCCCTTCTTCTCTGAAATCAACAAAAATATATAAAACACACACAAAAAACACCAAATTGAATACAATTCTGAATAGTTTTACTAATGATTTAAGGAGGAAATCTATGTCAAGCAAAAATGTGAACTATTTAACAGAGGGAAAGTAAGAGGAGCTAGAATGAGTAGAAAGAAAGGGAAAGCAGCAACTATGTTAACATATATGTGACCAATGCAAATCTGACCCTTATCATGGTAATCCTTCAAATTAGAGGTCTAGCCCTGGCCAGGTAGCTCAGGTGGTTAGAGCATCACCCTAATATGCCAAGGTTGCAGGTTTGATCCCTGGGCAGGGCACACACAAGAATCAACCAATAAGTGCATAAATAAGAAAAACAATAACAACAACAAAATTGATGTTTCTCACTCTCAAATCAATAAATTAAAAAAATAAATTAGAGGACGAAATTTTTTTCACATGTAAAATTAGGCTCTTCTGACATTTTGAAAATTAAATAATTTGGGGAGGGGGAGACATAGTACTAGGCCTAGCTCTTCAATAATGCGTTTGTCTCAATTATATGTAAAAGACAACTATTACTCATATACTGGGTGTATTAGTTAATAATGCGGGTTTTGTAATCAAAGAAAACATGGTAATTCCAAGAGAAACATCAAAAGTGCTTTATTCAAAGTAATGTCCATCGCTAGCTACACATTTCTCCCATCTTACAGATAATTTGTGGATACCGTCCCAATAGAACTTTTCTTGTTTTGAGGCAAACCATTAAGAGACCAAATTTTCCACTTCTTTATATGTTTTGAAGTGCTGCTCAGAAAGTGCGTGTGCCATCGATCAGAACAAGTGGTCATCTGAAGGAGCAAGGTCTGATGAATATAGCAGGTGGGTTAATACTTCACAGGCAAGATCTTTTAACGTGTCTTTTTTAAAAAATATATTCTTTTTATTAATTTTTTTTTTAACAGAGAGGAAGGGAGAGAGATAGAGAGTCAGAAACATCAATGAGAGAGAAACATCGATCAGCTGCCTCCTGCACACTCCCTACTGGGTAGGTGCCCGTAACCAAGGTACATGCCCTTGACGGGAATCGAACCTGGGACCCTTAAGCCCGAAGGCCAACGCTCTATCCACTGAGCCAAATTGGTTAGAGCCAATGTGTCTTTAACTGGCTTTGAAGTGTGTGATGGTGTGTCATCATAAAGCAAAATTACTTTGCTGTGTCTTCTAGAACCTTCTGGTAGTTTCATGATCAAAGCATGGTTCAAATTGATTATTTGTTGTAGGTAGTGATCAATATTAATGGTTTCACCTGGTT